TTTTTTTTAACACTTTGACTTTCTGTTGGATTAATCGGTTAACACTTTCTTTTCAGCATTTCTTGATTCAAAATTTATTCAATATCTGAATGCTCAGTTGTAGAGGTTTTAAACTGACAGTTAATTACTCAAAAAGTCAAACAGCATTACAGGAAAGTCTTACTGTTGATTGATTTAGTAAAGAAGTTTATGATTCAACAATTTAAAAATAGTTTAGATTTTACATTTTTAATAAATTAGTTTAAAGATTCAAAAACTATTAGTTAATTCAGAAATTTGATCTAATTATCTTTTGCTACCATTCTTCTATACAATTCTTATAAAGCATTGGAGACTGGTTCTATAAAGCTTTGTAAAAATGATTTGAGGGTCAAAAAAGCGACTATAATTTATAAATATATGAGATATTCAACTTAATGATTTCACCGCATATTACCAATTAAATCAGCCGTACAGATTTGTTGACATACTGCGGAAAAAAAAAAAAAACGGAAAAGCCGTTTAACACTTTTTTTTTCGTCATAAAGACCAAATTTATATGCATCAGTTTTATTTTCTCTAATTTTTTTTTTTCGTCTCAAATAATAGGTAATTACTTTTTATGCTTTTTTTTTTTCTGTCGTTATTGTCACTATAAAATGAACTGGTATTAAATTCCACTAATTGTTCAAAGATGGAAAAGAATATGAACGGGCAGTTATCTACCAATAATTTTGACTTGAAAAAAACATTTAGCACTTAAAAATAATTCAAATGCCTACCCTAAACCTAAATAATTTCATTGTTCAAAAATCAGTTTGTCATTTTTGCTGGGTAAGAAGGGAAGAGTAATCAACAATTCTTTTTTTTTTTAAGACTTATTTTTGCCATATTATGGTCATAATTTAGCGAAATTGAAGCAAAAACTAACGCACTATTATTAAGCAAATAAAACAATTTTGGACAGTACTATTTGGCAAACATGTTGCTTAGATTTGAAGAAAAAAAAAACAAGTAAAAATTTTGTTAGACAAACAACTGTTTTTATCTGCGTACGCTATTGCTCTAAACGTAACAAACTGTTTTCATATAATTGAGGAAATGGTTCACATTTCAAAAAAATTAAAAATTGCAAAATATGGAAGGTAATTGAAAGCGATGAGTAAACTACAGAAAAACAGAGAACAAAAAAGTCAAGAAACAATGATGGGAACTAAACGGCATCAAAAAATGATCGTCTATTTCAGTTCAATTTCAAAAAAGAATACGTATTTATGTGTATATATATCTTTCAAAAGCAATTACTGTTGATAAAGATGTCATTCAATGTAAAAAAAAATTTTTCTTATTTGAAACCCTGTTTTTTTTTTTTCTTATTTTTCTTATTTTCTTAGCAAAAAATAATTGACAACATTTTAACACTTTGTGTTAAAAAAAACTGTAAATGATAGACAAAAAAAAAAAGAGATGTCGACAATACACAGTAAACAGAGCCGAGCCGACACCGTCTCAAAACAAACATCTGTGAAAAAAAATTTTGCTGTTTGTTTTTGTCCTTCAAATTCTCAGCGTATTACTTGTTATCACAGATAAATAAAAAATGTATGTAAAAAATTGAAATAAGCATTTAAAAAAAGAATCTTCTGTTGAATTTTCGTTGTGCAATTGCAGCATTTTTGATGAACTAGATGAATTAACAAATGAACTGACGAACAGACGAGGTGCAGTGCATTTATGCAGATACTAGGAAAACGGGCAGTTATCTCCGTACTATAATAAAATTGCTATATATCGGTAATATATATGAGAACCCAATCCTCCATCAGTTGTTGTGCACAACAAGGGAAAGTGTTTCAGGAAAAGAATCGATAAAAATCACATTCCTTTTTAAAAAACATGACTGATTTTTTTATCGCAGTTTTTTTCGCCTTTCTTTTCACCGTCATCTTTGCACTTTTATGTATTTGAACGACCATTTTGTCCTTCTTTTAGATTAAAAAAAATAATCTCTTGAAACAAGTTAAACCAGCGGTTTTTAACGGATACGTTTAATGTATCCTTTATGTTTCTTGGTGACACCAATTAGAACCATTTCTATTGAATCAAGAGATCTATCTCTTTCCAAGTTGATATTCTTTTTCGTCATGAACATACAGCCGAATAAAGAGAAAAAAACAAAAAAATCAATTTTTTTGTCGGCAGCAGTACTAAGTTTTTCACAGACTTTAAGGAACACTGGATTAGTTAAGATATTTAAGGCCAACTTCACTTTAGTGAGAAATCATTGTCCATTTTTAAAACAACGATCTCTATCTTGGTGACCACTGAATTTTCCAGGTACTAATTTTCTCAAATAATTTCACAATTAAATAACATTTAGAAATCTATATTTATTTTTATTTATATGCTAGTTTTAAGAAATTTTCTTAGACCTTTCTTAACAAACTTTCGGTTCTGAGATAAAATGTAAGTGAAGAAGCGTTTAAGTGCATAATCATTTTTTCTTTTCAAGCCGCAATACGTACGTAGCAGTTTAAATAATGCCAGAAAAAAAATGTGACTCCTCGGTGGACAGACTTCGTTGTGTTACTTTGTACAGTATATCGATATCCACTTTTGCCACCCTGGCTTGTGTAATAGCAGTACCACTATTTTGCAATTACTTGCAGTCTATGAACGCACTCATGCAAAATGAACTTGAATTTTGCAAATCCCGTTCTGTAGGGATTTGGAAAGAAGTAACAAAAACACAGGTACTTTTACTTTTAGTTTTTGACTGTGTTTTTAAAGAGTGTATGTATATTGATTTATACTTCTTTCTAAAATATTTGGAATTTTTTTCTAATCTACTGCATTCATTCAACACATTGTCAAAATTTAGGGGATTCAAAAAGACCACGACAG